GGGGGGGGGGGGCGCGGCCCCCCCCCGGCCTCGGACGCCCCTGTATTTGGGGACATGTATAAACACAAGCTTTATACATTCAAAAGGTTAATTGGTCACTATCCATATTTAGACTGTAAATGTCAGAGTAAACTTTTCTTAAGTCAACAATCAGCCAGCAAGCTGTCCGAGCTGTTAGTTAACAGCTGCAGCTTCTAAATACAGACACGTGAGGGCAAACAAATTTTATAATGATCGGTATATGAAACCCGACCCTTTCCCTATTGAGGTATAACAATCCCCATGACATATATAAGTCGGGATTTGCTACATATGTAAAAGTTGCAACTTATAGTCCCGTAATTATGCTTTTTATATAAGATAGCTTAGTCTCGAAATCATAACTGTAATGGGATTTCACGGGGCCCCCAGCTATGTATACGTGCATCCTTTAAACACATACAATCGGACCAGAAATTCTTACATCCATATAAACCTGATCGTCAAGAAATAATCATGTTATAATTGCATATATTTGTATATCATATAATATATGCCCATACGTATATATGTAATATATGTAAAGAAATTCATAAACTGTATACATATTATAGAAAATGTGTTTAATTACTAAACATAATGATTTATGCCGATTATGTATTTTGCAAGATATGCATGTTAGTAAGAAAATTTGATTGTAATATATGTGCATTAAAAGAATGCAATTGAGAGCAAGATACAATTATTAAATAATTGAATCATAACGATTAAATTATATTTGTATTTTTTTACGTCATATCTGCATAAAATTAAGAATTATGAGTTATAATTAAAGATTTCACCGCAAGATGTCGGGCCCCCTTTATATATTCCTGGATACATTAAATTTAAATATTCACTAGAGCCCTCTATATATGTAAGTCATAATATACCATCTAGTGTAATTAATATCATTAAAAAAACCGTCCTTTACAATTTTTACTCCACCCAATTACCGCTATATTAACACCTTTGCGCACGGTACATTTTCTTTTGTTTTGACTGCCATCTATACTTCATTCATGTAAACAATTTCCATTCATTTAAAGCTTTGCATGTGAAATAAACTCAAGTTTTCGCAGTGTAAAAACTCGATCCTAGACCCGTGTTCAAATCGTCGACAATCACCTCGACAACACGTGAATTATCACGGGATAATGACGGGTCACTCGTGTGAAATAAACCAAATAATCTTGTGTTCTTCACGAGTTTTTGTTTGTTGGGTTATAAAGACCGTCCATTCCCAGCTAACTTTGCGCAGTGGCGATACAGTAACCAATGATCGAATTAGAGAGGTGCTGTTATTGCTAGTTGAAAACTATAACCAATACCCCGCCCAGTTGATGTGAAATCCCATCGGTTGAGGCAATTTCTGCATGCTCTCA